CAGAGGCGAGACGCCTCGCTCGCGCCGTCGTACCCCGCTGTGCTTCGTCCCCGTCAGCGCGGCAAGAGGAGGGGGCGAACTTAATTATCTAATTAATTAACCTCAATCAGAACGATGAGTAATTTCTCGCTTCGATGGCACCTTTGCCGGCGAGACTTTCTTGTCGCGCTGACTGCCACGAGGGCGAATCACGGATGAGCTCACGGCAAATCGATTATGTCCCGATGCTGTTGCCCCGACGGCGTGTCCCCGTCGTGCTTCGCGCACAACAGAGAGACAGAGAGAGAAGCCTTCCTACCAGGATCCACGATCCTCCGGCGATATCCTGCTCAGCTAGGTGGTCGACCAATTTTCCTCCCTCGTAGCTCTCCGTGGCCCGTCGCTCGCTCACTCGTCCGCCTTTATCTTTGGCGCTTACGCCGATCGCACGATAACTCGCTCGTGAAGGGCGACCATGGTCGTCGAGCATCCTTGGTCCTTCGTACGGAGTTCGGTGCGACGAAGCTCGACTCGATTCCGGGGATCACGGACTAGGGAGGTAAATGAATGACCCTCGCGTGAATCGAGCGAACGAGTGGACGAGCTGTCTTTTCGTTATATCCTCTCGGTAGGTTTTGCCAGCGCAATATGGAATAGGTTATAATTCTAATAATTCCACTGCTATCAGCTGGGTTGCGACACTTGACAGGCTGGAATTCATGGTATTCCATATTATTCTGTTACGTATTACCCGCATTTTCTCGGATAATAGTTATTGTTTCACCCTGTACGTGTAGGTAGAAAAACTGCGCAACGACGACTGGACGATAACGGCGCTGTCGTCGAAAGTTATACTGAATAAGTCTATCAGTCGTATCTCAGGGCAATTGATTGAATTTATCACGAGAACGATGCGTCACTCGACATTCCGAAGTCAGCTGTCGTTAATTCGAGTATCGCCCGACGCGATGTCGTCTTAACCCTCGAACACTCCTCTCTCCCTCTCTCCACCACTCATCTTGTCTCTCTCAAAGTAATAGCATCCCTTACGCAACGACAACGACGCGGCGGCGGCGGCCGCCTCTCGATTCCTATTCTGGATATTCCAGGTCGCTTCTCAATCCCGTCTTTCCTCGCCGACAAAAGCGCCCCGTAGGTCCACGTGCGCCCCGCGCGCTCGCACGATATGTAACTGACGTTTTTGACGCGTCAAGTGGTTCCATCGCGCATCCACCGTCGCTCGAGGGTTCATTCGGCTACTGTTTTGCATAAACATCGCCCCGGGGAGGGTGGATCGGCGAGAAGCGAAGTCGGTCCCAGCGTCGCTGGGACAAGGGTGGCTCGGTGAGCCGGGGCAGAAGAGAAAAGGGCCGCGCGAAACGCATCGCGGAGATTCCTCTAAGTGATCTCGAGTGTTTTCGCAGTTGATTCGCCGCTCTCGGACACGGTGTGCGTCTCTTCGCTCCTACGCAGCTTTTTAAGCTCCGTTTAACCCTGGCCTCGAGCCGCCTCCCGCCCGAACCGGCTAACTTCGCTATTTAGTTAGTCAACCCTGCCCGCGAGGCGTCATGGGAAACGACAAGTGGCGATGGTCTCGCCCTATCGGAGGCTGCCGATGCTCGAGTGGGTCGCGGTCTGTGTACACTCGCGCCTGTACCACCGTTGTCACATGTTTGTGCGTGTACAGTTGGCGTTATGTATCTCGTGCGATTCCTTACGTGATTTCGAGCATTAGACCGGGTCTACGATAGACGTTGGTAAGCCTAAGTTCAGCCTTTTGCTGCAAGCAATTAAATATAACGTAATTTCTGACGAAAGTTGCAATAATATGTAAATCTTAGGAATCGCAACGTCTGCTAGCGCTGGAAACGCTTTTCGTTAGAAAATTACGTTAGAATTGAATGCATAAGGATAAAAGGCTAAAAGCGTACTACACCTATTGTAGGTATAGCTTTACACATAATGCATGACGCTTTTTACTTTTTATAATAGAATTATAATAGATTTATGATATATTTGATTTTATGTGTACGTGTGGAAGGTTAAAAATCGCATAATAATAAAAAGTTTCCATCTAGGGAATGGCGTAGCAGATGGCCAGTCATAAAAAGGTTGCAGCATTTTTTTTTATAAGTTTCCAAACGCACCCAATAGGAAAGTTTGTTTTTCAATCATTCTCGGGAAATACATCTTCCCATTGGATACGAGATGCGTCGTGAAACTTATCGAAAGAAAATGTTGCAATCTTCTTGTGACTGATCGTACATGACGCCGACTGTACACGCTGCGTAGGTAGATAGGTAGATAGGTTAGGTAGCTGTGTGCGTATGTGTGTTTGTGCGTGTCGGTGGCTGCATCGTCGGGGCGGCCTCGTGTGCGCCTTTCATGTGATAATCCTTGTGTATTCAATTTGAGGAGACCGATCGAGCTACCCCCTTCCCTCTAACAACTCGATGTGCTTGACATAGAAAAAGTAAACGATCCCTCGTGGATTAGTTCGTAATTTGGCTTCCCGAGTTCGCCGGCCACTGTGGCGGAGGGAAGGGGAGCGGCGAACCTTCGACGAGTGTTTGTCCAAGAGTTTGGATTTTTCGGAGGCTTTGATTTCTGCCCGACCCCTCTGTCATCCTCTACGGGCTCGGGTCCGTGTTAAATATGTATTTCCGCCGTATTTCGGTGGTATCAGAGCGCGACGAAAGCGCCCGTGCAGCGTAAATTCGGATTTAACGCGTTATAGTTCTCCGGGAGTTCTGGCCGCGAAATGACGCGTTTAATGGCCCCGAGGACGCGCGCGGCGTGCTGACGTCCGACGAAATTCGAGCTGGTATGATCGTAAAGCTCGTTGTTCGGCGCGAGAAAGCGCTGCGTGGCAATTAGCGTCCCCAGTGAAATTAACCGCGAGGAGCCTCTGTTACACGTTAAAAATGCCCGAGTCGCTGTATACCTCGCTCTGTCAATTAAGAATAACTCGAGCGAAATTAGGAGCGCCAGCACGGAGCCACTCTTGGCAGCTTATACCAATAACCACGATAAGACTAATTATGTGCCGCGTATCGCGTTCCCTATCACTTATCGGAGTTACGGCGCCTTATCGCTGGTATTACCGAGTGTAGTATCGTAGCCCGTGTCGTAACCTCAGCAATCGTTATTGCGGAGGTCGATAATGCGGCGATCCTGCGGTATAATGTCACCTGCTTCAACATGCACTCTCTCCTCCTCTCTCTCTCTCTCTTTCTCTCTCTGCTTCTCTATCTCACTTTGCCTTAATTATGTTTATATGGAGGAGATTACGCTATCGCGATCGCGCGTTACGCGTTATTATATGAATCTCCGCAGGGGAGATAATGCTCCGATAACGATTTATAGAATCTATGATGTGCGACGCGTGCGAATCGTTCACGAATCGAGCATGATTTTAATGCGTCACGCGCGAAAACGCTACCGTCGGCACTTCACTGAATTAGGGCCATAAAACACAGAGGAAAACGTAAGCCGTAAGACTTAAGGGGATGTCAAAGTCGACGGGAAACTTGATAAGCGTTGATAATGTAGAAGCGATAATGTAGAAATCCTCAAAATCTCGTGTTATGTAAACACTAACACGATCATGTTATTATTTTTGCACTTTATGTACATATATAGATTTTACATAAATATAAGTGCGATGTAAATATGAATGCGATGAAGCGAAGGCGCTGCTCAGTTTTACAATGTCTAATGAATATCTAACCAAGATATATACAGATTTCTTTGCAAATTTTTCATGTCGTTTTAGATTTTTAAATTTCATCGAAAAGGTACAGAAATGTTCTTTAATATTTTCCTGGTTAGGTCATTGACACATTCGGTACGTAGAAATTGCACGATTCTTATGTCAAGTAAATACATATTGATGCTAATTGATCTAGAGATGTGTAAATTTTAGAGTTCTTAATCTTTTTCGTCACATGAGTAATACTCCAATTTATTCGCGTATGCTTTCATACTATGTATATACAATTCTGTACAGCTAATACGACATAAACTTTGCAGAAAGAAGCCGGTATTTTGTAAAATTTTCAATCATAGCATACTCTTAAGCAACAAACAAAAAATTGACCAATCACATTCTGTGATTTGTCAACTTTTGAACGCTTAAATTTACTGTTTACGTTTTTTCCGTGTGCCATAATCCTAATAATATCACATGAATTACAGAAAGTTTCCTTCTCTAGCGAAAGAGCAATGTTCAGTCGACGGGTATTCTGATTATCACAGCAAATATCGTCAATGTCGAAACGATACGAATCGGTATAGCGACCTATTGAAAACAAACCTTGACTCAGTAAGTTCTGATACATATATGCCCGATTAAATCATCAGAACGAGGCAAATGACGTTGTAGAGAGAATAAATATCAAACCACTGAAATGACGTAGAATGAACATCAAACCATTGAAACAAATTACTCTTATGATTTTAACGAAAAACATACATCTAACACGGGCAGTCCCAGCATCCCAAAAGTACTCATCAAAGTGCGAAAAACAATTATTTCACTATGAGTTTTTCTAAATATTATGTAAATTTGATATTCTCTCGCTGTTAGTATCAGAGCAAATCACAAATCATGAACATTTAGCACAGATTTATCGAGCTTCTTCGTGTTGTATTAACCATTACCTTCCCAAAAATGTTGTTACGGATCGACTACCTTAGAAAGCTCAAACGAAAATGATTATTGGACTGCGTGAAGTTCACCGCGACTTTCCTCGTGACCACGCGTCATACCGACGTTCCGCTATTCGCGCCTAACTTAATGAGCGGCGAGTATAAACGAGAAACACGTCATACACATATACACACGCACATACATATACACGCGAAACACATATACATAGATACGTATAATGGCATAGAGTCGGCCGGAAATTTTCGTCCCGCGTCTTACCAGACACAGGATTAGCATCGCTCTGTTTTCGCGTTCCACGTAATCGGTTCCTCGCGTCTCTTAGCTTCGCTTATGGATTGTACTCGCGAGGATGTGTTGGCAGAAGCCGTGCTACTTATCGCAGCTGTCGCGAACCTATCCAATTTTGAGACTCGTCGATGTTTACGACCGCCAGGTAACCTCGCGCGCGAGGTCGAATTAAAATTCACACTCTTTTTCCTTCGGTGCGTCATTCTCCACGCTACGTTCTTTCTTCCGCGTTCTTTCTTGTTTCTTTCATTTGCAGTCGTTTATACGAGCGTATGTGTTGGACAACATCTACATTTGCATTTTAATGTATGCCCTGTTCTACGCGACGCTATGGTACGCTTCTAACGTAAGTAATTCGCGTGATAAATTAAAATAAATTGAGATATTACATAACGAGTATGCATAATTAATTCGCAAACGACATTCTTTGCGCATTTTTGTATCCCGCACAAATGCCGGCGCCTTACTTGTCTGCTGTTCGTAAGATAATAAAACGTATCGAGAAGTCGAACCGGGAAATGTCAACGACAGTCGCGGAGAACAAAACGGTGAGTACGAAGTCGCGCTTATTGTGCCGTTTACTCATTTTAGTCGGCCTCGTTATATCTTAATTAATTGGCATTTCGCGAAATATATAATTCGCGCGTCGCCAAATTCACGTTGTTTCGCTCTTGTCGGCGAAAATCCGCCGCAGAAATTGGACAGGTTGATACTGCTGAGGAGCAAGAAAACGCAATTCGAGGAAGTGATCGTGAAAACGGTTAGTGGTTTCTCATCTTGCACTCTTACGGTAATTTCCGCAACGACTCGTGCCTTTCTTTCTATATCTGCAGACCGACGCGCAAAAAGTGACCACAAAACACTTGGAGGATGAAGTAAGTCTAGGTGTTACGAGTCGTTCGCATAATATGTAACGAATGACTGGTCCAGCTATAAACGTCATTGGGTTATTCAGATGTATAAACTCGGCACGGAATTAATCATCACGTCCGACAAAATCACACAATTAGAAAGGGTCATGGAAAAAGTAACCGCTAATTTACGCCGCTCGCGCGTCACTCGCTTTTCCGTTAGCTTCAGTAATTATTGTTAAATCGTAGACGGTTTTTAGTACAAACACCCGGACAATTCGCACGCGGATTCAGTCGATGTTGTCGCAGCCCACGAGGGTGAACGTTCTCCAGAGGGTGAACTCGAAGGCATCGCGAATCCGCTCGAAAGCTTCAAGGTTGGTCCGAGCTCGTATCTTAACCGGTTGATTGAACAGCGTATTCTTTCGGTTCTTAACAAGAGCAGTGATTACATTAATAATTAAGTAATAATAATACTTGAGATACACCATCCAACTAGATTCGCGTTTAATGAATGTAGTTACAATCATATTAATTGTAAATACAATCATAATACTTGTAATTATAATCATAGTATAATTATAATAATTATATGTTTCGATATAATAATTATGATTATGTATTTATGTATAATTCGTGATAATGGGTATTCGAACGGCGAGACTTGACTGTATCCATTAAGCGAATCAAAAATCATGATCGATAATGTTGCATATCGACATTCGTCCGCGATCACATCGTGGAATATGTGTTTTTAAGATCCTCGAGCCGTCATTTCCACCGTCCGTGCCGCCGGAACCACCGCCTCGCAAGTACGGGATCTTTGTCAGCCGACCTCCTGGGCAACGGAGAGCGTCGCTCGCAGCCGCGTCTGCCCCGCCAAAAATCGGATTCAAGTAACAGCGCGTCGGCGGAGGCCTCCTCGGAATCCGTCGTACGGCGTCGTTGTAAGCGTATTTCCATCACATCGGTGTTCGCGCGTGATTCTGCGTCGCTGCGAAAAGACGCGTCATAATGAAAGAGAAAGAACGGCGCGCGTAAACTCGTTGATCTCACTCGCGTGTGTAGAAAACGACAAGAGCTCGACGGGGAAACGCGTAGCCTGCGTTAGTCGATGAAATTCGAAGCGCGTCGATTTAGGTCGAGCGAGAAATCAGAGTCGCACGACGCATCGCAATCGACGATAATTAATCCCGACCGAACACGTTCCTCACGGGTGGATTGGATATCGGCCGGCTGATCGTTCGGTTTTCCTCGTTGCGTCTACCGTTTTCCACATCCAACTTCGGAAGCGAGGTGTACGAGACCGTATTCCGGACGCGTGTCGAACGCTAAATATGCCCTTCTAATTCTCAAGCTCGTACAAGGAAAACAGAACTTGGATTTTAAAGGGCACATTAAACGAAAAAACGATTCGAGAATCACATTCTCATATATACACGGTGGCCTATTTTAATCGACAAACGGTGATATCTCCGAAACTACGCAACCTACGAAAAAAATGTTCGGATAAAAGTTGTCGAGGACAATTGGGATCATCTACTTGTGCTAATGACCTTGACATTGAGGTCAGTTTTCAAGGTCGTTTCAAGGTCAAGGTCACTTTTTAAAATGGAACCCCCTATTTTTAATGCCGGATTCAGAAAGAGCGGGAAATTTTACATCCAGATATGTATCAAAGTATAAGGTTAACGTGACCTCCATAGGTCAAATGAAGGTCAAGAAACCACCCCTACCAAACCCCAAGCAGGCTAAACCACCTAACTTTGGGAACAGCGAATTTAATCGTTTCTTTTTCTTTAAAATAAATTGAATTCCAATCCACAAGTAGACTGACTCACAAGCTCGTGCATTATCTTCGTTGTATTCATGATGTCGACATATATATATATATATATTTATTTATTTATTTATTTATTTATTCATTTATTTATTTAAGCAAGAATCTATAATTACATATGAGAATATGAGTCTTGAATCGATACTAATTTTATTTCCATCTACGCGTCCTGAATTGGGCCTCTGAGATGGAAAATCGAGGATCCTCGCGGTCTTGCAGGTGCCGATAGAGTCTCCCCGAGATATCACGGCAATTATCACGACGGTGACGGGAGGAGATATATTTGCTCGAAGCGGCTCATGAAGACGCGTCCAAGGCGATCGTTCTGCTACGACGCGCGCAGCGCCCACGTGAACTCCCTGATGCATATCACACCTTTCACCAGATCTGTATTAGGACTCGCGAACATCTTCCGCCAACGAAGGAACGGCCCTTGCAGAAACGTCCGAGTGACTTGAAAGCTTCCCGAATAAATCTCGTAATTCGTTTCGATCGTCCCGTTTTATCTCGGATCGTTCGTCGCTTCGTCAAAATCGTCTCGGCGTAAAAACGTACGATCTTATGTGACGCGTGTCTCGACACATTGTACCCTCCCTATTGTACTTTAATTCGAGTTTAATGAAGAAATATATACTTTCGGCAAAAAAGCTTGCGTCATCATCGCCGCGATGAATTTCACGCGGATGTTGTAACGCCGGACTATCTTGCACGTGCAGCTGCAGCTATCTGCACATTTTCCGCTCGTAATAATAGCCGGACGTGTTCGCACACGGGGAGATAATCCTCATAGAGTCGGAGAAACCGGCGTGTGTGTGCGCGCGCGCGCACGTATACACACGATCTCGTTCCGGTACGCGTTTCAGCTTGTATTCGCGTTTTTTCACGTTTGCGACCCGGAATGCATAACGTCACGCTCCTTTTTGTACACCCGTTCGCTAGCGTCTTATCGCAAATTCGAGCGAGCGCTCATATGTGTGTGTGTGTGTGTGTCGTTACGCACGCAGAAGCTCGCAATGTAAACTTTGATCGGAAGGCATATTTAAGAGCGCCTATGCATTCAATGTTCATTAATCGAACATACAACGTAGAACAGTTTCGCCGATAAGAGGCGGAGAAGAACGCGACACACCGGTAACGGTCATCGATTTCGTTCGCCTGTTCTCCTAGTATTTTTGTTCGCGCCGAGGAGAAAATTATATTAATCGCCTCTTCCTGTGAAAAGTATCGAGTGATTTCTTCCACTCTTTCCCCCGCACCGGCGCCGGCAGACGGGAGGGACAACGCGTGACGCGTGTGCATCGGTCCGCTTCGACCTGACCGAAGTGGAGTTTCTAAACTCTTAAAGTGGCACGGAACCCTGCGTAAGAGAAAACCACGTTTAGATATTCAAAACGGAACGGGGGTCAAACTGTAACGTTCGTTGCGCGCCGCCGAGGTGCTGTTCGTCATGCAATTATAGGCGTAAACTTTTTTTTAGACATTAACTTCTTAGCGCGACGAAAGCATCCGAAGACGTCGTTGTCGACGTGTCTATACGTGAAAATACCGAGCAACGTGGCTTTCGCCTCAAAGCTTTCTGCTCCGCATCGACGGTGATCGTTTTGTTCGGAGGTGACGTCGGCGAAAGACCGTCTCAGTCGTTTCTTTTCTTCGTTTTCTTCCCGAGACGAATAACGTGAGTAACGATTACACGTGCGACGATACTGGCGATACTGTTTTTCTCGGGCGCGAATTACGTAACTCTTGGCGTCCACAGTAATTCGTAGTGAGATCGGCCGTTTTTGTTTTTTGCTCGATGCGCGACTGCGTGAAACAAACCCGCTAACTGAACTTTCGTTGCGAGAGCGGTACGCGAAATGCAGTCGGAACTTTTGAGACGCAGCTCTCGTCAACAGACTGAGCCGGCATTTAAATCATATACTTTCATTCGAAAGGACGAAAGTATTCAATTAGTCCACACGAGATCCGGTACACCAATTTGCCGATTGGTCGGGAAATTGTAGCCTACGGCCATGCGTGACGTCAGATCTCTTTCGGTGCACTATTCTGCTTATTAATCTTATCGGCCGATATTATCGGTTTTCCGCTCTGCTAAGCCGCGGTCCGAACGAATTGTCATCGTTTTCTCAACGTCCCCGACGACATGTCATACCGCGCTCAGGTGAGCACTCGCGAACCGTCGCGAGTCAGCGTTTTGCATGCTTTCCACTGGAAATAAAGCCATGTGAGAAGACAACATCGTTTTCTGCTCGCTGAAATTAGCGGAAAATTAACTTTCTCCATTAACGGCGCGTTAATGTTTCCTTCCCTCCGTTCGCGCATATTAAAAAGACATTAGCAAGTCTTCGGTAATTAGGTAGAGGGCTAATCAGAGCTCGCGCGCATGTTATTACTGTGTTATTATACTGCAACGAGACAAAACACTTTTTTGTCGTAAATTATTTTTCGTCGGATACCAATGGAGCCTTGAACTATTTATTTGTGCTGACGTTTTAACGAGCTCTCTGTTCATTTCACTGTACATGGCAAGAAATTTTATGCTGAATTTAACCACATGTCACAAGTCCCAAACGATCCACTCAAATTTTTGTGTCAATTTAATACAAGGTGAACATGTTGAAAAGTGAAACAAATATTATCAACTAAATATTGTCAAAAGTTAACACAAAATGAACACGTTAGTCGACACTGAAGTATAAAATGTGTTATTTACACACACTATGTGTTATTTTACCACTCACACATGTTGAATATCGACATAAAATATTGAAATGACGTAAACACTATGTTAACACATAGATATGTTAAAAATTTAATCGAAAAATTTTAACAAGGACGATTTTAACACGAGTACACAATATTTTTTATTCTGCATCTTCACTCGTTTTCATTATTTCTCGAGAGAGAGAGAAAAAGAGAGAGAGAGAGAGAGAAAGAGAGGGAACGACGTTCAGATCAACAATGTTACTTTCATTCGCACGTCATTTGTTCCGCTGAGTAAACACTTAGCCCGTTAACAAGCAAGAAGCTACGCGATGCTGCTGAAGTTTCCGTGAGAGATATGGAGATACAATTATCGCATAGAAAATGAAAAGAAACGAGACAAGCAGTCACTCTCCCGCTGCTCCCCGTCGTCGCGTTCGTTCCGGAGCAATAACGCCGGGCGAGCCATCGAATCGAGCCGCGTAGACCTGCAAGCGATCGGCCAACTTTCACTGACAACTCCTTAGGCTCGCCGCCGTGGTTTCGAGTCATTCACAGTCATTCCGCGACTTCAGCAGACCGCGGTAACGCCGCTCGTATTCCTCCTCCTCGTTGGAAGCGCGCGACCCTCGCACGGAACACCGGCCGTTCTAAAGTGTGTACCTGGTGATTAATCCGCAATTGTGTGTGCAACGCGTCCGCAGGTCCCGGCGCCTTGAATCCCGCCACCTCGCGATCCTCGTCAGCGGTCTCTCTCGTCCGAGAACGAACTGATTCGTGTGTCCCTTGCGTGACGCGCAGTGATCTTCTCTCGGCGTCTCCGACGTTTTCCTCCCTGGATCGATCAATAAAAAAAGAGGAAGAGAGAGAGAGAGAGAATGAGAATGTGCGAAAATATTCGGCGCGAATACGTGCATGTAATCGCCGGCCGCTGAGTTACGATCCGTGGATTTCGATTCGCATGTGAATTCCGATTTACACGAGAGAGAGAGAGAGCGCAATTTTCCGGCCACCGGGGACAGGCATTCGCGGATTGACCGTTTGTTTCCGGTCCGTTTGCAATATCGCCCGGTCGAGATCTCGCGCTCCGCAGTGATTCGGCCCGGGCGTCTTCGCGCCGTCGTCGGATCAGCGTCGTGGATTCGCCACAATTGCGACGTTGCATTCGCGCAGGGAGCCTGGGAAATAGGTCCCGAAGTAGATCCACGCCGTTCGGCCGCGGTGCGTTACGATTCGCTCGTGGGAAAGGGCGGTGGAGAGATAGATAGGTAGACATATTTTTGTTCGTTCTGCGCGCTCTCTGGGAAAATTCTCTTCAAACGCGAATAGACACAAATGAAAACTAATTAGATCCAGAAAGTTAATGTCACAATGGTGGAATGTATACAAAAGAAAATTAAGTAAGAATAAATGAGTGGTGCAAAGAGGTGATGATACAGAAAAATACTGCATACAAATACAAAATGCTACATTTGAGTAAATATTACTTGTTTCAAATATTTTGTGAGTTTCTACACAGAGAGGTACACGGAGAAAAAGGTTACCTTGGATTTAGTATGTTTGACTCGGATTTGTTTAATTTAAATAACATAATTTAATGACAAATATGATTTTGTTTGAATGAAAATGTCGTTTCAGCAAAATTATGTTGTTTGATGAAAAAAGTATTATTTAAAGGAAATAATATTTCATTTCCAATAAAAAAATTTATTTGGTTTTATATTAAATATTGTTTCATCGAAATAAACAAGTTCTTTAATATTTTTTTAATGTAGTGTTACTTATTTCAAATAATTTATTGTTTACGACAACCATTATAATGTTTGGATGAAGATACAAAAGAAATGTGTTCTCTGACATAAAGATATACAAAAGAAAGATCAGCGAAAACAAGCAAGCACAAGGGACCGATAACCAACTAAAGCCAGCTAATATCTCACGCAAAGAAGAGAGAGAGAGAGAGGGGGGCAAAAGTCTCATGATCGCGTTCTGCGTTTCCTCGCTGCGCCATGTTTCTCGTAAGAGGGAAACAGAAGGAGAGAATTCTCGTTACGAGCGCCGGCCGTTTCCGCGATTCGGTGCTAAAAGTTTATTCGGCGATACAAAGAAATCGCCGGCATTACTCGGCGGCGGCAACGGCGGCCTCGCTCTCGGGCGGCTTTGTTGCCGCGAATGAAAGTAAGACGGACGTCGTAAGAGGATTTAGCTTTATTGCCACGGAGTAAGACGGAGTTCGAAGAAAGTGGAAGTTAACGGAGAGTGAGAGTCTTCTCTCTTTCTCTCTCTGCTCTATCCCTCGCTCTCTCTTTTTCTCGAGTCGCGAGCTTTCAGTATCGGATGGTCGCACCGAACGCGGTCCCAGAGACAGGTATTTGCGCGGACGGCGCGTACGAGTGATCGCATACCTTTGAAAAATCAGGTTAAGGCGAAGCCACTCGTAGCCGAGTCGCGATTATGACCGCGCTCCGTACGTTTTACGCAATGGTGATCGTCGAAATCCACGGCGATGTCTGCGCGATACGATGTCCTATATGGCCCCACGTGATGTATAATAATTAGTCGTGTTGTGCTTCGACACGCGCTTATGTAACGGGATATTATTAGTTGCACTCGGAGACGTGTGGAGTTTCTTACCGCACACGCCTTCCTACGAAATCTAGTTCTGTACACACGTACTTTCGCTTCTTAATCACGAGGTGACGGTACTGACAATGTCGACTCGGTAGATCTGAAATGACCACTCGGCGATTTCGTATTTTCCAGATGTAATCTGAATCCGTCTACGGTGAATTTACATGTTACCTTGTCAGACGCGCGTCTGAAAACTGTCCGAAGGTTCGCAACGAATCGGTGGACTCGACTCTAGTCGCTCGTCCCGTGAGACGAGGAAGAAAGAGTAAAAAGAAAAGGTCAACATGGACACGAGCACGGTACGATTAGTGATATTCTTGGGCATGTTTCTGGTCTTCGCCGGCGATTATAGCGCATTGATCTCCACGATTTTCGGTAAAGCGGCGGACGGGAATGCAACCGACGCCGGCAAAGGGCCATCCGAGGTTGGCCTTAAGAAGCCTTACGATGATATTCTTTTGAAGAAAGATGCGGATAAGAATAACGGTAAGAACAGGATGTGAAAGCCCGGCGTGAAAAATTCATACACGCGATGTTCAGTTCCCTCGCGTTTGTGAGAAAATCTAAAACTATGTTACGCTGAAAAATAAAAATTGGAGATTAAATTAATTGTGAGAAATTAAAAATTATAAGTTAAATTCATTGGAAATTAATTCAAAAACTGGAGAGATTTGATACGTGAAACAGCAACCTCCGCAAAATAAAATTAGAATAGTACTAATACTATTCTAATCTCTCATATTTTTAAAGATATTAATCATGTTATACGGTAAACAATTTTGTGTTAAAAATGGTCCACTGAAATTTTTATGTTACTTTAACGTGGGAAATATGTTAAAAAATACATGTTAAGAAATACATGTTAAATTAACATACGTTCACCTTGTTAAAGAAATGCCAAAATTCCAGGAGCGTTTTGAACACAAAATTGCTTATCATGTAGGCATGAATATTCATCTGGCGACAGTAACGAGATTTTGAATGGATACTTGATCCGAATTTGCGTAAGATATCCTTGCATGCGAGCCGCTTAATGTTTTCTCCGCCGCAACTACCTATTGTTACGTAAAACTACGGATACATAAGACTCGCATGTTAAACGTATCGTACGCGCTCAAGCAAACATATACGCGTGCATTATCATTATGCTGCTTACCATCGTCGATGAAAAGAAGAACATGATAAAAAATACGTTATCACCGATTTTCCCGCAGTTGCCTTACGTCGTACGAAGTTGATAGCGACGATCAAGACCGCTTGTCTACCGAAGTTGATATGCGAGCTCTCCTCGTCCGTCCATCAGGACCAGCTGAGTGAGATGGAGCGATCCCTTTTGAATCTCATAAGGTATAAAAGTAGCGCTAGTTTTACGTTCTGTCGTTTCGGTCGCCTCTTCTTGTTCACATGTATCACAAACAGATAAGTAGGCAGTTTCATAGATATATAGATAGGTAGATATACCTATCTATATAGGTATACCTATCTATAGATATACCTATCTATATAGGTAGATATACCTATCTATATATCTATGAAACTGCCTACTTATCTGTTTGTGATACACGTAGATATACCTACAGATAGACGAATTTATTAAGGATCAGATAAGCAGGGAAGAAAAAGAAAAGAAGATGCGCACGATACACAGAGAAAAAGATTTCTTTAGATTTAATAAAATTTCTTCGATTGAAATAAATTTCGCTTTTGGAACAAAGCGAACAAAGGAATGTTTGATTCAACAAACAAGATTTTGATTTCTCAAATCTTTATTTCTAAATATCTCTACGTTAAATAACGTATTTCTTTTATATTTTTATCCGAACGTTACAATAGTTATCACAAGCAGTAAATTTTTTGAAAGAAGTAACGCACTATGTTAGAAAAATATTAAAGAACTTCTTTGTTTCAGCGGAACAATATTTAATACATAACGAAAACAAATTTATTTTATTGAAAACGAAATATTATTTTCTATTATTCGAAATATCAATTTTCTCCAAATAATACTGTTTTCTTCTATCAAACAGCATGGCTTATTTCAGTGAAACAATAATATTTATATTTAAACCATGACATTTGATATTAAATTATGTTGTTTATATTGAACGAACAAACCTAAGTCAAACGAACACGTACACTAAATCTAAAAAAAATATTTTTCTCTGCGCAGATTTAGATATATAGATAGATAAATTTATTAAGGATTAAGTAGAGATATATGGCAAAGTAGGAAGGAAGCGAGAGAGAAATGAAGACGGAGATGCGCACGGTAGATTCCGTTGCCGGTGTTTTCTAATAGTAAACAGTACTTTTTTAATTAACACGACACGTCGGCACGCTCGATGTAGTAAGCCGAGAATCTACTTTCATCATCGAGGCTGTTGCACTCGAACGTTACTTTCACAACTTTCGATTCGACTCCGATCTTCCGCCGCTAAACGGCGTCACGTACGTCGACCCTGAGCATAAATTCCGCTTTGAGATGTATCATAGATTCGCGCGTGAAATACGCAGGCGTGAACGCCCGGACCGATTGAAATTTCACGCGCGATCAAGGCGCGCCGCGAAGATCGATGATTTCGCGGGATACAAGTGGCTGGGAAGAATTTTTTTCCCCTTTTCTCTTTTTTTTTCCGCGCGCGCGCGCGCGATGAAAGCTCGATCGAGCTCGCATTGTGCGCGCCCACACGTTTCGCAATTTTCACTCACCGCGACCGAAACGGTAACACACGCTTCCACGCGGCGCGATTGTACAGGGCGTTTCGAAAAACGTGCGACGCGGTCTTCGGCGTTCTCGTGTCGAACACGACGCGACGCAACGTGACGTTTCTCTCGCTCGCTCGCCTGCCGGAAAATTGGATGCCGGCGGTAAATGCGTGCGTGCGCGCGTATTTTGCAATTTTCGTTTACGATCGACGGTAAAACGCGGCGAGGCGGCCACGCTCGGTGCACGCGCGCGTTGCGTTATGCGGATAACGCGAAGAATTATACCGCGAATTCGTGCGCCGTTTTACGTCCTGATTAAAAGCGAAGTTATGTTAAAGCGCGTTCCCGTTGGAAAATCGGGAAATGCTCTCTCTGCACCCCTCCCCACCCGTTTCAACGGGTTAGCCGATGAAATCGGACATTCGACCGGCTGCATTCTGTCGTGCAGGCGCGCGTTGGAGGAGATTCCGCGCGACGAGCACGGAAATTTCTAGCCTGGACGTATTAATTATATATTCATATGTGTGTCGAATCGCAGCCGCAACGACATTCTCTCTCTCTCTCTCTCTCTCTCTCTCTTGACCATCGCTGAATATCGAATACCAGCTTGTTCGAAAAAAGCGAGTGGCGCGGGCATTATCGAAACGTCAGCGCATTAATAACTCGTCCGGTGAGACCGCGAATTATCATACATACGGATTGTTCCCCGCTCGAAAATATTAAAGCGTGTTTTCCCGAACATCTTGTTCAGTTGGTTGTTAATGTGATTCAAGTCTTATCAGGTGTGCATTGTTCGGGCTCGCAAACACGCGCAAGGTAGATTCGACGATTGCTTTCGTATTGATTTGTCGTCGTCGTGTTAACGACGCAGATGATTACGAAATGATGCAGATACGAAGTATCTGCACAAATTACCATCATCGGATTTTCAATTCCGCTAACGTAAAATTTCCTTCTCTCGACTCGGTTGAAAACCTTTCACTTTTGTACGAAGTCTTAAGAAAAGAAATTAGAAAAAACTAGAAAGTAACTGTCGAGGCAATTTTTTTCGCTTCTCCTGAGAGCTTCCGCTTTCGCACACGCGGGGCGTCATTTATCTCTGTCAATATATAAAACCTATTCGTTATTAGATACTGACGCATGTGGACAAAATATGTCAATGTTGTGAAATTACTTCGAGTTTTCGAGTCGCGGCGAATGAAAGTTCGCCGAGCCTTACGTAAGTCCGGTCCGAAAAAGGAGCCACCATCTCTCTCACCGTTGTCCGGAGATAAACCGTAAGCACGGACGCGAGCACTTTCCTTTTCGCGGATTATCCAATCCGCGGCACTTTCTCCCGTGTCATGACCGCCGCGCGCTTCGCATCTGTCGGCATTCCCCGACGCTCGCTTCCTGCGAAACGTTCCTCGGCGCGAACGATCGACGGTCATGTGCCCGGATTCGCCTGCAGCGGCTAGTAGAAAGCGGTGAGTTATTCCCGATCACGGTAATATTCGCGTCATTCGCGCGGCTGGAAGGATAACGGGGCGAGGGGAAGAAGAGGGACCCGTTCATTGCCGTGAACCCGGCACGACTATCGGCTACATTTCCGTTCTGGAAGCGCGTGTACAAAACCTTTGCATTATTCATAAGCGCGGGGTGATCCCCGTTGAAATGCACGTTATGCACGTGAGCAAATCAGCTCAATAATGTGCGTATTTTTTTCTGTCGGCAGTGCGCCGAGGAAACACTTAAAAATTCACCCGTGGGATACAAGGTTTACTTCACGGAGAAGTAATTTCACGGAAATAAACTAAGTGAGGCTTATTTAAGTAAGATTTGAATAAAGCTTACTTCTATGAAATGAATCTAATCTCCCACGAATAAGTTTTCAAATACTTCCCTTCGGTGTGCGCCCTCTTCTTTTCACGCGGTAGGGGACGTTCGGCATTCCTCTCGCGACATAGTTTCATAAGTTTCTATTAATAGTGCAAGTTTTTTTTAACGTTTCCTGCCATCTCGACGATGTTGGCCTGAATGTGATAATTCCACGAACTGGTTGGCGAGGGATAAATAAGTAATGACGAATAAAACGGAGTGGGGAGCGAAGATGGTGAGTTGCGGTGTAGAAAATCGCGAAAAATCGATATAGGCACACTCGCGTGAGGAGAAGCTCGTGAGCGAATCGTCGTTGTATCCCGGACATAAATCGGATCGACTTGGAGCAGTTTGGAGTGGCGGGCGGGGAATAAAAGTCTTGTATTTATTACGGCCGTGAAATAAATTTCACTCTCGCCCGGCGTGTTAAACGATAACGACGTCAACGAACAGTAAAACGAATCGACGCAGAAAAGCGAGTTCCATTAGAAAGTATAATGAACCAACGCGACGGCATTGTCGCGACGTGTAGCGCTTTCCTGTTTTCGTTTTAAATACACGATATTTCTTCACACCACATTGCACCCTCGTTACAAGTTACGCGCGCGCCCGCGTGTAATTATAGTAAAATAAATTTAATGCCTCGCACGATTTACATGGCAAGAAGAGAGTAAGAGGGGGAGAAATAGAAAGACAGGCAGGACCACATTTCGCACGCGATAAAATCAGATAATACTTTCTATATTTTCTAGTGTCCGTAAAGCTATTTAGAACGCAAATTTCGAGCATAGCCGCGCGCTATCTCGCGTTTGTTCACCGGCTTCTCGACGAGAAGGCGTACGTCCTCCCGAGGATGAAAGAAAGAGAGTGAGAGAGAAAATCGTGCTAGGAGCTTCGCGTCGCGGTTAATGTCCCGGAAGGATCCGAGCTTTATATTTACTTTTATGCCTGCGTAAACGCCGGCCCATACTGACGCATTCCGCTCTCGATTTTTATCGGCGCCGATCGCTCCAGGTTAAACCGATCAAGATGGAGAGGCTAAAAAGCCGTTTTGCGTTTATTCGTTATATCCCAGTCCCTCCCCTCCTCCCCCGATCCCTCGCTTCTCCATTCGAAGTCGTAAAGCGGGAAGAAGGGCTTCCTCCGTTATGAGAGAGAGAGAGAGAGAGAGAGAGAGAAAGGAAGACGTTCTCTCCGCGTGAGCCATGCGTGACGGAACTGCTGGCGCTTTTATTATACTCTTCCGACAGGCCGAACGAAATCCTCCTTGAAAATTCAGCGCGCGAAATCTGTTCGGTGTCGGTGGGATCGCAACGATTTTTTTTAGGCGACTAATCGTCGGCGATTCTCGCGGACGATCGGCGCGTCCGTCGATTTTCCAGTTCCCACGTGGAGTATCCCCGGCAGGAAGTGGGTCTTGCGGAAAACGGCGTGTGGGAATCTCCGCAGAGAAGTTATAGGAGCTTTGGAGTTCAAACGTTGATGATTCACCTCGCGCCTTCTAGCCAACTACCGCCGATAAATAGTAATATTTCCGATCGCGCCGGCACCTGCGAATCATCGCTCGAAGACCGGCAGATCGACGGATCGATCGGTCGATACGTATATTCCTGAAGAAAAATTTAACAAAATTTAAAGAGCGGGACGTCTTGAAAAGTCACAATCCCGAAAACGGAATTAATAATAAAATAATAATAAATTAAACAGACGGTAAAATTATAATGAAAATAGCTATAACAATGCAGTAATACAAAATATATGAGAAATTATTCGTTATTCAATTGTATCGCATATAATATCGTACTTTTAAATATTGATGGTGATTCATTATTCCGAAAACCGGAAAAATTCGAATATCGAGACAATCTCCCGAAATATTGAAAGAAGCCTTTAACTTTGTGAGACAACTTCATTTTCTTCCAATATTTCGGGCTATTGTTTCGGTATTCAGTTTTCGGGACTGTGATTTCTCGGGATGTTATCCCACTTTTGAAATTTCAGGATTTTGATTTTTCGGGATTAAGCATGTCGACCAATCAATCCCCGCGACGTGTGCGTAACGTTGACGCAAGAAGCCCCAAGGTTACGACGGATCGCGAACGGGACGACGGGAGTCGCGGGATTTCTTTCTTCCTTTCTTTCTTTGCCGGACTTCTCAATGGAAATGCAAATGCAACGGGCACGTTGAGGCGAAGGAAAGGCGTGCCCCGTACGCCTGTGCTGTGGCTTTTTGCGGGGTGTAACCGGATTTTAAGCGTTCAGCGCTGCATTCACCGTCGATATCGAAAGTAAAAGGCGACTCGCCTTGTGCTAGTTTTTATATATCCGCCATCGGCGACCGCTTTATCATCGTCAATCGCTTCGACATTTAGCCGTTCGTGCAGCGCTTCGTCGGGTGGATTCTTGCCGTATTATGATGCCAGATATATATATTTTATTCTACCATGAAGCTCTCGCTTGCCTTTTCGCCCCTTGGCATTCGCGACCTCAAGCTGGAGGAGGTTAACTGATCCGCGTGAAAACACATACGCACAGCTAAGCTTCGACAAAACTTTCACATTTGCCGGGCTAAAATCTATTCGAGCCAAAAAACATTATTATTCCTCCACAGTGAGAATTTAGCGAGAATATCCTGCATTCGGTGCCAGTTGGCTTCGTAACAAATTTATATTTAAGTTAATATTGTTTTCATTGTTAATATATTGTTTTAATATTTAATTGTATTTAAATTAAATATTAAAATTGACGTTAGTATTTGTAATACACGCAAGAAATTGCACATATGACTAACTATTATGTCAATTTGACAGTCGGACGCGTCACATCATAAGGACTACCGAGTCCCCGGCTTGGCAAATGCTGAAAGCTCCGTTGAAGCTCGACGTAGTGTCGCGCGCAATTAACCAAGAGCCCTGTCGCACTGATGGGGAGTTAACGAGCTTGCAGATGGTCAGCTCGCGAAATTCGCCGCGCTAATGGATCGCACCTTGACGTTGCTGCTTTCAGGGACACGAGTCTGAGCACGATGGCGGAGGTGCCCTCGAGGTATCACTTCGCGGCTCATATGGGTCAACTGATCTCCGGTGTGGAGGGTCAGGGCTGCCATAACTTTTACCCGACGTGTCCACTGGCGCGCACCAACGTGCTCAACATGATGAAGAAGGTCCGCCTACGCTGAAACGATCGAGCCGAAAGCTCGACTCGGAAGTCGCGTCCGACGACGGCCGACGACTTCTGGACCTGTGATATCGCGGATCGCTCTGCCTTCTCGAAGAGATCCGAGGACTCGCGCCAGCGACACGCATACACACACACACACACACACACACACACGTGCGCGCGAGCTTCCGTCGAAATGGAAGGGGAGATAAAAACTACGGAGTAACGCGATGTTTCGCGAAACTCGAGATGTGCTTTTTCGGTCGCGACAGGGAATTCTAGTTTGCGAATTGGGACTCCGGACTCCTACGAGAGACCGTACAGTGCCGGAAATGATATTGAAATGATGATTACTCGCGTATCTGATCCACGTTTACCGACGACATTCTGAAACCATATAATCATAATCCGCGAATGTAAATATCCCTACACGTTATGTCAGCGACTCTCTGCTATATTCTTTCCTCCGATTAACTTATTCGTTAAAAAGTAAAAAAAAAAAACAAGAAATAAAAGATTAATGAACGAAATAACAAACGCACGCACATTTGCTCTTAACGATACTGTTTATTTATTTCGCAATGAGCATTATCGCATCTCGCTCACGCACTCACCCTTTGATAAAACACGATTCCGTCGCTCCTGCGCGATTCAAGAGTTCCACGTAATGCGTACGTACATATACGCACACACGCGCACGCATATCTGTTAAATCGCACGTTATTGTCACCGTACTTTTTTATAAGCAAAAATAACAAATACATTTTTTTACACATGAAAAGCCTGTTGACCGATTATTGTGATACATACTCGACCGTCATTCCGTGTATGTGACACCCGAAATTGTGCGCCTTCGTAAGAAAGCGAGCCTCGGTAAGGTACTTTGCCAAATTATCAGAACTGGCGATCTCCGCCCCAAAGCGGGGATCTCCTTTTCTCCCTCGGCTGTTTTAATACCATAGTATGTACTTCCTCCCCGACGTAATTCGCCGCGCTGCGCCGCTTGCCCACTCGGGGGGAAGGGGGGAGAAACGCGCGAAAATTATTGCGATAATCGCCGGCGTCTTTATCGACTTAAACCCGATGCCAAGTACCGTTGGAGCGGACGTTTCCCAACGAGCCGTGCGATCGTAAACGAGATCGTGCCAAGAGTCTCGGTCAGCAGTTAGGACCTCTTCGCGATACGCGATGCGAAACGGAACGTAACGCCGATGAGACCGAAAGCAAGCGCATCCTCCCCGCGCGCCACCGTAGCCACCCCTCCCGGAGGCGCAGCCAGCGAGCATTCGGGATCCTTGCGAAAATCGTCGCGCGATAACTCCCCTGCGAGTTTATCGGCGTTCCTCACATCGCTGCCAACTCCGGTCGCGTGATCCGCAGTCGCGATTCCTTCGCGAATTCGGATCCCGGCGGTGTGCCGCGTCGCAGCCGAAGCGGAAAATTCTCCCAAGTACCCTCCATCTAATAAATGATAATAATAATAATCTCTATTAATGGGAAGCACCGTTTAATATATACATATATATATATATATATATATATATAATTAAAGCAAGAATGTATCGAAGGAGTTCGGTGAAAAGAGAAAATTACGAAATCTATTAAATATGTAAATAATGATGAGAATATAATAATAATTGAAGATCATGAAATCGCACGCAGTATACATCCCAAACTAATCTCGGTTCCCGTGATGTGCAAGTAGGGCGGGTGAAACTGGAGGAAAAAAGTCATGTACCATTTTGCGATATTTGCAATAGTTAGTGCGGAATGAATTATATTGCCTGAGCTGAATGAACGCACGGGAAGACCGGACATTGTATAAAGAAAGATGGCTTACCTCGGAAGATCTAGAAACAACGCATGCGTAAAATTGATAAATAAACGCTTGAGGCCCTTTACTCGTCGCTTTGTGTTCTCCAATGTATCGAGAGCTCATGAAAGTCGACGAGGCGCATTTCCAATCTGTCTTCATGCGAGAACGGCGTACGCACCGAATGGAAACAAGGACGGGAGTAATTAGTAATTCGCTTTGTACCAACGTCGATACCGACAGGCGCGTGATTGCGTACGCTAGATTTCGCAATTGTCCCGAAGATTTCACCACAAGATACACGCGACGCATCTTTTAACACGCCCTCCCCCCGATTACGCACGTGCACGCGTAACGTCGTGGCATTGTGCATCGCATGCATGATTTATCTACCGGGTGTCAAGGCAGCCGTAAGTGGAACGATAGTAGCGCGGATAAAGAGCGAGGAAAACCTCTCCCCCGTCGCGGCGCGCGCGCGGGCTAATGCGCGTTAATTGCTCCCCGCATCGTGCGTGGCGCAATCAAGATGCATCTGGGAGAACTACCTGTATCGTTATACGCGAGAGTTAACACCTCGGCGATCTCTCCTAAGCCGACCGGCGATCGCGATTCGGCTTTCGAAATCGGCGAGATACGGGGAATCCCGCCGGCCGACTTTTCTTTCGAAATAAATACTTTCGTGTGTAAACTCCGATTGCAATTTACCTCGAGAAATTTCCAAACCGGCGACAGAGCGACACGTCGACACAGCTTCTCCGGCGGCGGCGATCTTGCCGGAAACTCTCCGGATCGTCGTCGTGTCGGCGGTATGAGGAAACCCTTGTACGTAGAGCGTACCGAATGTCGCAACACGAAATTCACCGTCGTCGTTGGGTCGAAGCGAAGTCGGACGGGAAGGGGCGATCACTTTCTCTCGCGCCGGCACCAACGACGTCGGCTTCTGGCGCCTCGAGGAACATTCAGCAATAAGTTTTTACCAAAGCAGCAACCAGCCGTCGGTGCGTCCCCGCGTTCCCGAGCCCGGTGCGCCGAAATTGCGCGCGGTACGTCGGTGAAACTCAGCTGCGAGAGCGCCCCGAACGCTCTCGCGCTCCCTAAACGCTTATTAATTTCGGACAAGTGCAGCGGCGTTGCGCGTTACGTGTTACGCAACGTTCGGGTGGTTCGCACGGTTACGGTAACGTCGGCGATTTGTAGGCGCGAACCATCCGACGATTCGCTACGTGAAGTGCGTGACTGAGGATCCCGTAGACGAGTGAGGGAGGGGGAGAAAGAGAGTTCTCTTTGGATCTCTCGAGGAAATGTTTCCTCAGTTTGCAGTATCAGACACGTGCTCGTGACGCGCAGTGCGATCCACGCGATCCCTCGACGGTGCATGTTCGCTCTTGATTCTCCGGTCTCTTCTTTCTTTCAGCCGAACCGGTTGCGCTAAGTGAAGAACTGTACATTGAAGTGCACGAAGCGTACGTACGCACGAATAAAAGGAATCAAATCAATTGGCCATGATGATACAACTGAAATTTAGCTGACAGACCTGGTTTTTAGCCGCGGGAGATAAAAAGTAGGTACAGGCACAAAAGGAATTAAATAAGTCAACTAAGTTTCAGTTGTATCATATGGAGCTAGCTAGTTTTGAAGATAGTTTTTAGCCGTGGAAGCTACTTCTCTTCTTCCGTGTGAGATTCCCACACGCTTCGGTGTGCGTGCACTTCTTGAATTAGTGCAGCCAGTTAAAAGAAGAAAAAAAACTAATTATCATTCAGCTCTTATTTATTCGGTATTATTCTGCCGGGGTTACTAAATAATCGGCTAATTGGATACGGCTCGCGGATGGTTCGTCTGTAAACGCACGGAGTCACTCTCGCGAAAAATCGCTGTTTCGCGTGCGCCGGAGGTGGTTTCCCTGCTCCGAGCGGAAACGACCGAGAAAGTCGCGCGACGACAAACGGGGGGAGACATTCACGGCGTTGTGCCGGAAGTTAAATGTCGAGGCCTCGCGCCGGTTTCGCAGCAGTCCCGCGGTAGCTCGCCCGCTCTTACGTTAATTAACGAATGCCGCAGATCCGCCGCGCATAATGCAGCTGCCACGGACTGTCGTGCTCTTTGGCTGTTGCCTTCTAGCGTTGACTCTCGTGACGGCGGCGCCCAGTCCGCAGGAGCCGATCTTCCATCTTCCGTTGCAGCTAGTTGGCTTTCCGGTGATTATAGCGGCCGTAAGAATCACCAACTTCCTCAAGAAACTCGCGTATTCCTTGAATCCAGGTAACGCGTGCGCTGGACAATTTGCCTCCTGATAATTCGCTTCGTGAAAATAATAGACATTCATTCACTTATTTATAAATAGCACATATTTATAAAGAGTAAAGAGTGATATATATATGATACGGTTCTTGCTTGGTTTAACTAAAGAGAAAAAGAATATTGAATCTTTGAGTAGTTGGTAAAAAAATAATCCCTGCTTCGGTTTTCAAAGACCCGATATTCTTTTTCCTTTTTGTCAAAATGAAATATAGTCGAATATATATTTTATATAGAATATTATTATATAAATGTGATAGGTTAGATTAGAGATACTTAAGATGAATTTAGATTGGAAGAGAACTGATAAGACAGAGATAGATAGGCAAATAGATAGATAGATGAATTTATTATGCTGCTTGAGAGAGAGAGAGAGAGAGAGGGAAGCGCAAGATGCATGCGTAAAATTGACGGGGTCAATCGACGAGGTCATATCGCCGCGCGCATCGCGTTTCTCATTGTAAAACCACCAAACGACTCCCACGCAACGCAAGAGAATCCGCTTTCCGTGTTACTGTCGCTATCGCGCGCGCGCGCGCTTCCGTGTCCGCATATCACTCGGCGGAAAATTCTCACCGGCGATTGTGGTCCGTCAGCCGTGAAAAGCAAACATGTATCGCGCATAGGTTATTCTCCTTTCGCGCGGTAACCTGCAAGAACACACTAACCGAATCGGTTGGCAGCGAGAGCGAAAGTGTTCCACTTATTGCAACTTCCCTCTCAGATCACGGAGGCGTGTAACTACTTTGTAATTGCTCGGCGAGCTTGCTCGCCGTTAAGCGGGCAAACGTGCCAAGAATCACTCGTTTCGCAGGTCAAGATCACTGTTATTAAAGCTAAAGGATTTGCAGCGGTTAGAGCGGGAGAAAGAAAGAGGCGCGCTAATTGATAAACAACGTGTTAATATTCATCAGCACGCTCGTGAAAACGGCTCGTTTCACCGGTTTCACACGCCGGGGAGAAATTCGTGCGAAAATCTAGGACGTCGGGTGAACGACGTTATCAAAAGTCGATCACGAGGAAACGAGGTCGCGACGAAGAGTTCTGCGAATCGTCCCCAAAGGTACTCTCTTTAAATTCCCAGATACTTACGTCAGTCGGACAAAACGGGCGCCCCCTTTGATACACGACGAGGAGATCTTGGACGTCGGTCACATCGAGAAGAGGCTGGTGACCGAGCTCGGGAATAACTTCTGCGTCTACGAGAGGATCTGTGCCAAATACGCGGATCGAACCCTTCAGAGGAGAAGTCGGGAACGCGCTCTCGATTGGAACGAAGTGTTCAGGTACGATTGCCATCAATCGACGTCGATCTCGATGTCGTTCAGGGTTGCCGCCCTTTCTTTGGACAGAAATCGAGACTTCCAATTACCTGGGGGAGGGTAGGTTTGGCAAAATTTTTTTAACCCTTTGCACTCGAGGGCTCCGGAGCGGAGTCATTTAAAATTTGTCTTCAAACTCGAGGGCTCCGCTATGGAGACAATGCAAATAACTTTCAGTTCATAACATAAGGACAAAGACAAATCGTAAAAACTATTGTGTATAGGATATTCCGCTCTTGCTATTTGCATTTGAGTTTGAAGAGTTTGAAGACAAATTTTAAATGGCTCCGCTTCGGAGCCCTCGAGTGCAAAGGGTTAAGTATGCACAGCATACGTTTTTATCTTTCTATTAATATATAACACACTAATAGCATCTGAAAATAAAATGATCAGAACGAAGCAATTTATAAACATGAAAAGATAAATTACAGTAAAATGAAGTATTACAAACACAATATAATATTAATACTTCATATTTATACATGAAAACGTTTAAAATAATAATCAAAAATTTATGTTAGCGAAATATAAAAAAATTAAATTTACTTTTGCTTCCACGTATACTCTTTATTGCTTTGAGCAATTATTATTATATATTCAGCGATTACGCCATTTTGTCGGGACGTAGAACGAATATCGATAAGTCGGGACGGGTGGCAACTTTGGTGTCGCTGATCTCGCGACCTGAAGCGAGAAGGACTCGGTGACGGTGTTAGATAAGTCGTTGAGAAAATATAAATATCGGGAAAGCGAGAAGTTTTTTAGTTAATTAATTCATTCTAATTACAATATGATAAACCGCGAGCTGCGAGATCGAGATCGATCGATTGCACGAAAGAGAGAGAGAGAGAGAGAGAGAGTGAGTCGCGGCGGTCGATTTCCTTCGCGATGCAACTTTCCCGCGATCGCGTTACACAACTACGACCCCGAAGTTCACGGCTGGAGGAATCTGTGCCTCGAAAAACAGGTTTTACATGGATACAGCACTACGGTCGATTAGGAAACACACAATCCGTGAGGGTTTTTATTAGCGGGTTCATTAGAGCGGTGTAAGCCGCCGTTCCATTTATGCGGTGATACGTGACCCTTGTTGAGCAGTATTTTACTCGTTCTTGCAAGACTCCGTGGTGCCATTCGTAATTACTGCCACTTCTGATTAGAGTCGAGATAGAGGCTGTGCGCGAACGGCTTTCCGTTAAGAAACGGGTATGATCCGATAAGCAAAAGCGGTTTCCCCCGAATGAGCTCGCCGAGTTCGCTTTTTCGATCGAAATTTCGAAGGAGTTTCGTTATTTTTGTCTTCTTCGCCGGAACATGGAATCCCGGTAATTAAGCGCCGAAATAGAAGTACAGAAAAAAGGCGGAAAAGAAAAGAGAAACTCAGACATTCCCGAATCGTTCTAGATTCCAGTACGATATTAACCCTTCGTTGGCGCACATGAAAAAGGCAATAATAATAATAATTTTTGATATATGAGTGCAAAACGATGGGTGAAAATACGAAGAGCGAGACGCACCCCGATCGCGGCCCGATGACATTCCTTCGTGCGTGTCTGAAGGACTGCGAGAAGGCAAGACTGGCTAATTGGGAAGGATGAAGTGGCGATCTATAAAGGACATTAGGTGCGACGTCTAATCGTTCGGTCGGACAATCGTGTCGTGTCGTGACGCGCCGTGAAATCGCCGCTAGTCGCGGCGATCCACGCCTACGAGGAATCCCTAAAAGGAAGTGCAGCGCCCAGAGATGCTCTCTCTCTCTCTCTCAATAACGGTGGAGCATTTCCTCCTTCTCCCTCTCCTGCCTCTTCGCCACCCTTTCACTTCCTCATTCATCAGGCAGTCGAGCGCATTGGAAGATATAATGGAAATTCCGGCTACCGGCGCTCTCTACCAACTCGTCCTCGCTCTTCCTTGCGGTGGGACTTATACTAAATTCAGTTGTAAGTAACACTGGGAGCAGATAGCCTTTAATGGCGCCTCCACGGGCGCCTAATGCATCCTGATAACTACTGCATCCTCCTGTCGCACTTCTCGTCCTGGCCTCCTCGCGATCATCCGTCCATCCATTCGTCCGCTCTTCCTGCTCGACTCGGGTCGGCTACTGCTACGTGTCCAGGAAAATGCAGAGAAAGAGAGGGAGAGAGAGACCTTTTACGATTGCTCCTGCGTCATCCAACTCGTGGGTTTGAAGACCTGTCGGCTTATCTCTAGGACTTCCTAATGCCCCGCGGCTCGAGATAGCGAGCACGTGTCGCCGTGTCTGTCGACGACGCACGATGCATCTCTCGAGGCGCGTATTTCGTGCCAGGCCTCCTCTTCCTCCTCGTGTTCCTTCTCCACCGCCTCCTTCGCCGGTTCCTTCTCGTCACCTGCGGGCGCCTCACATAGGCGAGCACGCATGGTGATGAGGGAGACGAGAGACAGCCTCGGCGGGGCGGACCGCGGAGATAGATAAATTGGAGATCGGGTACTGGCGGCAACTACCGTCTAGACGGGCTTAACCGACCATGGATGAGGGACGAAGCTGTCCCGAGATCGTCCTGGGCGCCTCGGTGGCTGCAGGCTCGGGGAGAGCGATCGGTGACAGAAGGATCGTAGGTGAAGTGGCGTCGTTAGAAATTAGGAATCCATTTGGACGGTACACGGTGAGGCCGTGTCCGGCCACGGACGCGATAAAGCGTTGTTCGTTCGTGCGATGTTCTCGGGCTGCTACGCGGAGTAAAATTTACGCAACATCCAAATGCACGCTTTGACGCGTAAAAAAATATATACTGGAAAAAAGATTTGATAATAACCATTGAGCTGGGTCATAGTTACTAAATGCTTTGGTGAAGTAGCTTCAACTAAATGCTAAGGCAAACATAATACCAAATAATGTGTATTAACAAATAACCTTAGCAAGGCTTAGTATTTGTTACCAAAGTTTAGTAATTATTACTTATTGGTCTGTGATAAGTACCATCAGAACTATTTGTTAAATCATGTTGTTTAGTAATAATTACTACATTGTGCAAGCGATATTAAGAATTATCAAATGATTTAGTGATAGTTTCCAAATGTTTTGGTAATTGTTCAAACTAATTGGTTATTATTATAAAATTTTTTAATATTATATACCAAACAATTTAATTGATGCAACTTCTTCAAGAATATTTTGCTAATTATTATGTGATTATTATCAAACAGCAATTATTACCACTCGATATTAATTACCAAATATTGCACTGAAACGCTCGACCAAACATATTTATCAACTATTACGAGATTTTTGTTTAGCGTATATCAATATTAGCGTATATCAATATTATTATATTATATATACGTTGATATATAACATTCATATAACGTTATATTTGATATAACGTTAAAATAACGTTATATTTGATGACATATTTAATATAAAAAAATATATCTCGTATAACCCGCGTAAGTTTTGCTTTTGACAGGAGGGTAGGCCACGTGATTTCATTTTATTTTTGATAATTTTCATTTTCCGAAGTCAATTTCAAGCGATCTCTCGCGATTTGCGTGCATCGATATCGGCGCGAGAGATGAAGTGATAATAATTTTTCGTGTGCGTTGCAATTTTACAGCGAGTACAAATCATCGCCCGACCCGATGAAGGAGAATTACTTACTGAGCGTCTTTCTGGGGGACGTTATTGGCAGCCCGAAGCTGTGTCATTTACTAGCGAAGAGAGGAAGAGGCTGCGATAATGCTATCCTGTCGGATTAGTCGGCTCGCTCCAGTCTCCGCGTAGGTTGTGAATACTTCGATGCCATGGATGTGTTTATTCGCGATTACAGAATAAGTTGTTAGTCTATCCGTAGTTGGTCATAGGATGAGATAATGTACATATTTCGCGTGCTCTTTGTGCAGCTCGATCACGTTCGTTTGCGCGTTGATTGCACGGGAGACGACATGTCTCGGGTTGTTAAATAATTCTCATTGTTATCAATTGACAAATATTTATGTCTATGTCTAGATTGCAATTTATTTTAACGAGGTGTTAACAAATATCAAGAAAATGAAGCTATCGAAAAAAGAGAGGGATCCATAAGCGCGGTGTGACGGAGGGTCTACGTGAAATCGAATAAAATTTAATTGGAGGTAGAAGAAACTATTTTAAGAATTATGGACGGCTTTAAAGAGAACTTTCTTTCTCTCATTTCCCGGTCGTCTCTCTCATTTTTTTTCCTCTATCTTTCTTTCTTTCTCCTAGGCATATCGATTTCTCTGATTCTCCGATACGCTCGTCCATGACATAAATAAGCGACTCGCGCGGTGTGATACACCGTTATACACTCCGAGTTTTATTTCGCAAAAATAAACCGCTTGACATTTAGGGAGGCGTATACGCTCGAACTTGCTTATTTTTGAAGAGCTCTTGCGAAAACTGTGCCGTTCCTCGTACGGTTCTTCGCCCATTCAGGCGCGCAACGAACACACACGCGTGTACGCACACGCGTTCGAGCGTAGGCATAGGCACGAAAGTGTACACACGGAGTGAGAGTCGCCCGCAATGACGTCGCTTCCAACCCACGTCTTTCCGATCGAACGGATAAACGGAGGATCAACTCCGAGGAAAGTTTCAGTTGGCACGGGAACCGAGACCGGCGACGTGATCGTTTACGTTAAAAAGACCAAGTCACCGTAACTGTAAGCAACAAATCAAACCCGATGCGTTAAGTTCGTCTTCGAGTGCGTCGCGAACGTGTTTTTCAGAATGCGTTGAGAAATCCTCGGCGAAGAGGCACAGCGGCGTTAGGTAACGTAATATCCCAATATGGCGAACGTTATACTCAATAGTACATTAAAAAAAATAACGTTATCGGACTTTTGTATTTTTTCCGTCAAATTTTCAAGGGAAGCCTGTAGTAGGTAATCTTTGGAGAAATAAAAGATACATTTTCACAGTTTCTCCCCCCGTACACAAAATGACGAGAAATTTTATCCTCGTCTGGTGCATCTCGTACTTATATTTCAAAACGGACGCCGGTAAACCGTCGCGATACCTCGAAGAGTTGCTTGACGATGGCCGGTGCAACTTCGACGCTTCTCTAACTTACAACGTGACGGATCTGTTACGGTAAGTGTGACAAAATATCCCGGTAAAATATTTAAGCAGAAACACACATTTCAGTGGAGAGATATCGCTGTTTCGAATTAACACAGTAATTTTATTTAATCTTTTATTGTTTTATTCTTAGTCTTATCTTATTTAGTCTTATTTTTTATTTAATTGTAATTAAATAATATAAAATGAACACACTGTATATATCGCTTGATTTCACTTATTAAATTTTGTTTAATTCATTATTGCTATTAATTGATCGCATAGGTGTATGAGCGTGTTCATGATCGGTCTTTCGGCTGAAGATAACGTTCGGACGCTAAGACAGCCGAGCGAATCGAATCCGTTGGCTTACAGAGAAAATCCGTACGAGTTGTCTCTCGGGAACGTAGTCTCGAATTTGTTTAGCAACGGAATTCCGTCGGTACGTATCCCGCAGGATACCTTCCGTATCCTGGACGTGTTTGCCGCGATGGAATTTCTCAGGATCGATCGTTGACGTATGGTGAATATTTTGCAGATTAACGACTACTTTCCGTTAGATCCCGCCGCCGGTCAATATCAATTAGACCGGCCGGTTGCACCGGCCGATCCGCTCGGTCAATTCGGCGGGCTCGGGGCGAATCTCTACGACGCCCTATCGTCGATCTCTCGCTACGATGATTCCAAGTGCGTGTCCAGAATACTCTGCGAAATGGCGAGCGGCCGGCCACCCGGAGAATACAAGCAAGCGTCGTCGTCGTCCTCGTCGTCATATCTGGGCGATCTCGGAAGAAACGCTCTCTCTCAGTGCGTATTTTCGCGAATGCGTCACGTGAAATAACGTTAACGTAAACAATAGCATAGCAATAACCTAAGAGTAACATAATAATAACACCACAATAAAAATAACGATAATGATAATAAATGACACATCTGAAGTCGTGTCTCACGGGAGAAGGAAAAAAAAAGAAGAATCAATTAACAAATTAAGGCGTCCGTCAATCAGGCCCGAGAGTTTCGTCACGTTTTTTCTCGTTTACGTCTTCCAGATGGCTCGTCGGCTTGGACGTGGCGGGGACGTCTCCGATGTTGAATTTCGCGCGAGCCGCCGCGCTGGGTTACAGCAGCTGGGGCGATCCGGCCGCGTGTTACCGCGCTTTCCCGAGGTGTCCGCGTAATCCCGACAAACTGCTGCATTATCTGAACAATCACAACGGCGGATTCTTCCGGTTCTTCGGCGGATACGGTCGCGGCGGTAACCCACAGCAGTCTTACGCGTCGCAAGGTAGATAGACAAGGATAGACGAGGACGGTCTGAGAGAAGGAAGGGAAGAGAGAGAGGAGACGGTATCGTAGATTTGTCGTGGCGAGGCTGACGTTGAAATGTAAGCTTTTCCACAAATTAAATCGCTCGTCGCTCGACAGGCAATTCGAAATTCCTCCGAGGGAGGAAACGGAAAGCCCTGCCTCCGGGCTACGCCGGCGCGGTGGCTGATCGCACCGGAACGGGCGAGCTGAAGTTCGACGTCCCCGTTTTGAGCGCTCAGCGAGATTACGGAAAAAGCTCCTTCCAGAAAGAAAATATATCGGAGAGCTCGAGGCGGGTAGTGTTCCCGGTTCACGAGGAGCCGAGCGAGGATCGCCCATCGGGAGACAGGATCCCTAAATCCTCATCGGGATACGAGAGCACCGACGCGAATGCGTCCTCGCGAAACAACCCGCCGTTCTTCTTCCCGCAGGTCTGATTAGTGCTCGGTTAACAAATAAAGTTATGTATAATTAAGCTTCTTTCGATCGATTCCTTCAGAGTCGAATCTTTAGCGCAATTTTCGAAGTCGGAATTAATTTCGAGTTGAGATGAGCCTCATAATTGCAACAATAATTTATGAATGAACTAAATTGTATCAGGCTCTCAAGATATACAAGAAACATAGAAAAGCCAATAAAGCTTATCGAGCTTGTATTCATATCGTTAATATTAATAATCCCCAAATATTCCCACAACTATTAATTGAATAATTAATTCAGCATTAATTGATTGAACGTTGCAAAAAATACTGCCTCCTAACTGAGAGAATTAATTAATACAGGATTAATTAATTCATTCATAGTTTGTTGGAATATTTGAGAGTTATTAATAGTAATAAATGGGATACACAGGCTGATCGTGGAAGATATGTTCCTCGCGTGCGTTTGAAAAGTCTGAATAAGTCGGGCACGTGCATTTACACTTTCCAATACATTACCCTCTCACAGAAAAATTTAATAAAATTTGTACCAACCGCGCTTGGCTCTTACTGGCTTTTCTATGTGTGATTGTAATGATCTAGGATTTCATTTCAATTGATAAAGTACGCGATGCCGCATTGATCAAGAATGCAACTTTCGAAATATCTTCCAGGACTCAGAAGATCCAGACATCCGTGTGTCACGTTTCGCTCCTTATCTGTCGGACTCGGAATCTCGTACCGAATTCCACTTTCCACGTTGACGATCGATCTTACTCTGCGGATGGAACACACTCGATGTTTCACGGTATTGATGATGTTAATCCGAGTTCTCGCACAGGAAGTGGCTTGTTACATTTTATTTATTAAAGTGATCGATCTCGCGCGAGGTCTACAGCGAGGAAAGATGAATTAATTTTAACTGTGTACCGTTCAATACGCAGGTGTCATAAAGTATTTATAAACTAACGGATGAGTATCTCTTCAGTTTTGTGTTTCGATGCGTCTTGCACGCACATTTTACCTGTCCTTTTCTCTCTCTCTCTTTCTCTCTCTTCCGCCGGACCGCCTGGTATTCGGCAGCCCGAGTAGCTCGACAAGCAAACGCGTTCACATAAGCGCAGGGAGAAAAATCGCCCGTTCTTTTTTTTTTTTATTTTTAATATTCCGTATTCGTCTATTCAGCATTACACGGTTATATATGTACTTCTCATCCATTACATTGCGCCGTTGACACGCGCATACCCCGGCGGAATACCAGAAATTGCCGACTCGACGAGAAATTCAACGTCGATGTCGATAGACAAGCATCGACGTGCATTCTACGTGCCGAAGCATATTCTACCCTCGCTGATGCAGGGGATTCTCCACTCGCCCGCAGCACCTTTTCTCGTAATGGCTGCTTCCGCGCCCCCTCCGGACCGATCGCGATATATCGATATGTAGATAGCGTTAAAATAGCGCAACGTTAGAACCAATTAATATCGGTATATTTTAAATGATAGACATAGAACGAATTAGTATCAGTGCGCTGGGCGGTTCGTTGAACCCTACCGGCGGGTGTGGACATTTCTTCGTGGCTTGAAATTTTACGTGATCTTGAGACACATTAGACCTTAAATTAAATACGTTAGAAAATCTTAAATCGCATCAGATAGAAAAAAAATGAGTCTTAAATCAAGAATGGATATTTTCATATATAAGCAAGAATATTATAATCTTTTTGGAAGATTTTTAGTCTTGATATATTTGAATTTGTATTTATGCAAGTATCACTTGAACTCAAGTCAAGACTAAAATTCTTGACTTCAGATTATTTTGTTTCCATGTAGACGATCCCAAAAGTTAAATTACATCGGAATTAGAAGGAAAGGCTCTCGGGTGTGCAATAAACGAAGCGACCGAGAGATCGATGAGAAATCTCGAGTCACAATTAGACACACGTGCAACACACCAACAGTCACAGTCGGAATAATTTACGTAGCGACGATTACGAGACGCCGCGTGTGCGATTTCCGAAATTATGAGTTATTCCCAATGCACGCCCACGAAGAGCTTGGTGTCTTCGGGGGGGG